CCATCCCATCCCATCCCATCCCATCCCATCCCATCCCATCCCATCCCCACCTGATTCTCTGTGGCCGTTCACTTTCCCAGGGCACTGGCGGTAGTTTTCTGCACTGTAATTGAAAGGAAGAAGAGGACTCTTGTTTGTTTTCCTGTTTAAAATTAATTTTATTTCTGTCTCTGCATGAGATTGCCTTTGAGAACAGAACCAGCAGTGCTGTTCAGGTCGTGTTTATTTACTTTGCAGAGATGTTTTCCTGGCTGGAAGATCAGCCCTGGAGCAAGGAGCAGGGCTGGCTGTAACCCTGCAGATAGCACTGCGGGGCAGCCAGGGGCCTTGTGGCCAAAGCCACCGTCAATATTATTGTGCTCTTGTCCTGCCTTAAGACGGCTCAGTCCCAGTGTGCAGACCCCGTGCAGAGAGTCGGGGCAGCAACAAGGGTGGGGAGCTCCTGCAGCCCTCTTGGCACACATGGACTGTGCTGTCCCCAAGCAGCGGCCACATTTGCACGCCTGGGCGTCACCATTTGGTGCCTGCGAGCACCGTTTGATGCTCCGTGGTGCAGAAGTTCCCCAGTGCCACCTAGAAGGGAAGGCAGCATCTCCTCCCGTTGCTCCTCTGGGACCTCGCAGCCCCCATGCCAGCTCCCCTGCTCCTCCTCCCCATTTTTCCCCGATGAGTCAGTGGTGCCGGGCGGGCGCTCCTGTTCCCCGCCGCAGGACCCAAAGGCAAGTCGGGGCAGTGCTGTGCAGGCAGCGATGGATGCACACACCTGGGGATAATGGCCCAGCCCGCTGCTCACAGGAGGTGCAGGCGCAGCGTGGAGCACGGAGCCAGCGCTCACCCCTTAGCCAGGCAGTGAGGGTTTCTCCCCTGGCTCACCCATAGACGGAGCCCCTGCAGTGGGGCCTGCACCACCTCCTTGCGGCATCCTCAGCTGCGTGGACCCAGCTGTGCTCCTTTGGGGTCTGAGCTCTGGTCTCTCCCTCCATAACAACAGCAGCGCTTTGCCCGTTGGACACCAGGTTCTGAACAGGGAAATCATCCTTGGGGCCGTCCTACCTGTCCTGGGCAGGAACCGGTCCTCCTGCTGCAGGATGCGGCTGCCACGTGTGCATGAGGCACGTGTGTGCCAGGCTGGAGCAGGAGAGCCTGGAGGGGACGGGTCGATCCAGGGCGCTTCACAAGGAATGAGTGAGGGATGGGATGGGATGCCAGCTCTGGGCAGGCATGTTGCTGCCGGTGTGGGCCGCAGCTGCAGCCTCTGCTGTGGGATCCCCGTGTGCTGGGCTGCAGCTCCATCCTGCTCCATCCTTTGCTGCCATGGATACTGAACCCTTCCTGCAGCGCAGCGATGCTCTGCCCGCAGAGCAGAGGGCAGCGCTTGGTGCAGCACGTGCCGCCTGCTTTGTGCACCCTCAGCCCTTTCATTTTGGCCCTTTTCCATTTGTGCTGTGCAAAGAGCTGGGAGTGGCTGCCTGTGGCTGCCGGCACCTTCTGGGTGAGCGCGTGGGCAGCGGGGCTGATCCTGCCCTGCTGTGGGGACGGTGCTGTGCACTGCTGACTGCAGGGGTAGGTGTGCAGGAGCTGCAGGGAGCTCTGCACGTTTGCTGGAGGAGATGCAGAGGAGGCTGCACCACCAGGCCAGGGCCGTGCCCGTAGCGCAGTCCCTCTGTGCCTTGGGTAGCTGCTCTGCCCGCAGCCAGCCCCACGTTTGGCTGCAGTAAGCTGGTTGCACGGCCCATGAGCTGCTCCTGCACAGGAAGAAGGCTTTGCCCCACCTGCCCCACTGCAGGTGCAGCATGCAGGATGGATGCGTGGTGCTGGTGGGGCCCCGAGTGACATCAGTGCTTGTTTGGTAGGGTCAGCACTGTGCTGGTGCAAAGCTCAGCACTCACCTCCCACCCCACGTGGTGCCCCGGGTGCTGCTCCCCTTCACGCCTGGCTGGACGGCCTTCCTTCAATGTGGGGGGGGTGAAGGAGGGGTCTGGGGGAGCCGCCGGCCGCTCCCTGCAGCAGGGCCGCACGCTGCACCCATCTGGCAGTGCAGAGGAATCCCTGTGCAGTGGGGCAGCCTGACAGCGGGTGCACAGAGAGGTGTGGGTGCTCCCTGCCTCCCCTCTGCCTGCGGTTCTCTCCCCTCGTGCGTGGGCACTGTGGCTGCCAACCTCCATTCCCCTCCTCTCCCCTCCTCTGCCCCAGCGGCTGGAGCTACTGGTTAGACTGGTCCAAAGCCCGGTTATCCCCCAGTGCCACAGGCTGACCGTGACACTGCCGTGCTGGGGGACACGGTGGGGACATGCGAGCACCGGCCCTACCTGCCTTGCTGCAGCAGGTCCCAAAGGTTGATGCTTGGGGGGGAAATGCCTCCCAGCTCCTCCTAGTTGACCACAGTGCTGTGAAGGCCAGCACACCGGTTTGCAGGGCTGCTGTGTCCAGTGGGGACCAGTCCTGATTGATGTGGATGATGCGGGGGGATTCCTCCCCGAGCACAAGAATTTGGGGGGAATTCTCTGCACTCAGCCCCATGCCAGGCAGGGTGCGTCCCCGCACGCTTCGTGCAGGAGGGGGGGGAGGGCCGGGGGGAGCGGGAGGTCAGAGGAGGGGCCCTGCTCTCCTCCTCCCAGCACCGGGAGCGCGCTGGGAGCAGCCGGGCTGTCCGCTCCTGCCGCCGCGCATCCCCCCCCGGCTCCGGCCTCTCCCCGCGCAGCCGCTCCGCCGGGCGAGCATCCTCCCGCCGGGCGTCCTGCAGCCGGTCCTGCGGCACGGACGAGCGTGGGGAGAAAGAGCTGCGGTCTCGGCATCCGCCCCCCGGCGCGATAGGCGGCGGCGGAGCCTCGGCTGGGGGCGGCGGAGCCCCTTCCCGCGGGGAGCAGACCCTCCTCCTGGCCACCATGGTGGTTTTCATGGGCAGGAACCTCTCCTCGCTTCTGGCTTTCTTCAAGAAGAAGGGTGAGTGGAGATGCGGAGGAGGAGGGAGGGAGAAGCGCTTCGCTTGTCCTTGCACAACCCCGGAGAGCCCCGACCCCCGCGTGCCTCGGGGGTCCCTGCAGCAGCTGCCGCCCCCAGGAGGGCAGCGAAGGTCGCCGGCCCCGTTCCACCGTGGGGACTGCGGGGCACGGCTCGGTGCTCCCACACGGCAGAACGCAGCCGAGCCCACGCGGGTGGGGATCGGGCGAGGGGCTGCCGGCGGCGGGGAGGGCATTTCTCAGGGGAAGGGCGGTGCGGTGGGGCTGTGGTTGCCTCGTGTCCCCGCACCGGCATGGGGGCTCCCTGAAGACCCACCGATGTGCTCTGCGCCCGGCCGACCCTTCGGGTGTTGAGGGTGCCGGTGGAGGCAGCTGGCTCGGCTGGGCGGCGCGGCTCCATTGTTCAGGGCGGCTCTTTGTGTGCCGGAGCTGCCGAGCGGGGCTGGGGCCGGCTGTGAGCCGTGCTGGGGACAAGGCCTGCGTGTGACGAGGCAGCGGCGGTCCCGGTCGGTGGTGGATGCCGAGCGGTGCGTGCCTGCATCCCAGCAGTGTTTCCCTCCAGCCCCGCCGCCTCCTGTTGTCTCCTTTCCCTTCCCCTCCCTGCCTGAAGTTGTTTTTTTCCAGGCAGGAAGAGCTGGAGGCTCTGCAGGCCGCTGAGGGTAGATGGAGCTGTGCCCATGTCCCCTGTCTGCTGGGGACCAAAGCTGGGGGTGGGTGCCAGCCATGGGCACCACTGGGTGCTGGGAAGGATGGGGCTGTGAGATGGGTGTGTGGGGCCCGGTGCTGGCCGTGGCGCGGCACCTGCAGCTCTGCCACCTGGTGCGGCTGCAAAGGGGGGACAGCAGCCTTAGGGCCCCCCAGGCACTGTGTCATGGTTTACGTATTCTGCACAAGCCTGGGGGTGAGTCCCTGCTCCCTGGGGTTCTTTGCAAGGCCTTGAGATGATTCAGTCCTGTAGAAGGAAAGGTCTTTCTGTCCTTCTGTCCATATTTGCCCCCTTGAGCAGCCCGCAGCCCCACAGCACGCTGCTTTGTTGGCCCTTCAATGAAGGTGCTGTGCGGAGGGCAGCGCTGTGCCCCAGCTCTGTGCTGGCTGCTGGGGGGAAAACACTGCATCTCTCCCAGCGCAGACAGCCTGACTCCATTTGATCGATCGGGCAGAGCTGGAGGGACGAGGCTGGTCCTGTGCTCTGAGCTCACGGGCAGACTGCATCCCGCCTGGCTGCAGGGCTGGGGGCTGCTCACGTGCAGGGGGCTGGGGGGTCACCGCTCTGCTTTTGCAGGTGCTGCCAAGACCGAGAACGACAGGCGGCTGAGCGTGCAGTACAAACCTGGCGATGAGTGCCCCGACAACGTCTTCTTCCCCAGCACGCGGCCCCCGCACCTGGAGGAGCTGCACAACCAGGCCCGCGAGGGGCTCAAATCCCTGCAGCACCAAGGTGGGCACTGCCAGCCCCGAGGGCCCCCAGGGCTGCAGGGTGGTGTCCCCGGTGCCCCGGGCAGCTGGCTGTCCTGCCTGTGTGGGCGGTGCTGCGGAGAGTGACCAGAGTCCAGCACTGGGGGTGGCACCGGTTGCTACAGCCCCACTGCCCTGGGGGGCACTGGCTGTGCTGCTGAGCTCGGCAGCTGCGGACTGACCCTCTTCCTTCCTCCTGCAGAGAAGCAGAAGCAGACCAAAAGTGCCTGGGACCAAGGGGACACCAACAGCCTCCAGGTGAGCATGGGAGCTCCATCCGGCCATGCCTGGGGCTCTGTGGGGGGTAAGGTGCATGAGGCAGCCCCCCTACACCCTGCACAGGGCAGAGGGCATTGCTGTAGCCCAGAGGAAGCAGGGATGTGGTTGAGGCTGGGGCTGCAGGACCAGGACAGGGGGGTTGTGGGGCAGGAGTGGGCTGCTCCCTCTCAGTGTTGTCCCATTTGTCCCATGATGAGGCTCTGTCCCTGTCCTCAGCACCAATGCACCATGCCTTGCGTCATGTGGCTCTGCCTATGGCCCCCTGCCATGCCTATGTCCTTCTGACCCCCCTGTCTGCCCCACCAGTGTCCCCTGGCAGTGCTGAGTGAGGTAAGGAGATGGGACGGTATGACAGGGACTGCCGGCCACATCCAGCCCCATGGTGGGGCCCCTCCCTGGCTGCTGACGGATGAGAAACTCCCACTCTCTTGGCTGAGTTGGAGTTTGCTGCTTCCCTGGGCTCTGACCCCGCTCCCTGCGCCTCACCCACGCGTATTTGCTTAAACTGCTGCCTCCCTTTGGCTCTCGGCCACCTTAACCCCTTAGAAGCAGGCGGTGAGGGCTTGGGGAGGAGATTCACAGGGATGTGTCTTGTCCTGATCTCTGGGAGATGCTTTGGAACGGTGAGGTGGGCGCAGAAGGCCATGCCCATTTTGAGGCTGTGAACCCAGTGTATGCCATATTTCTGCTTGCACTGCCACCCCATAGCCTGCCCCAGCCCTGGGGTGTTTTTGGCTTAGTGTTGATGAGGTGGATGCTTCCCTCTGGTGTGGGGACAGGGCGGTGCTGACCCCTCCGCCCTGCTGGACCTGGCTCGCCTGTTCTCTGGGGTCTGCAGGACTGTGTGGGGTCCCTGGGGCTGCTCCCGGCCCCGCTCCTGGTGGGAGGACTCTGGCTGCCGGTGTGGCTGACTCAGCCTTTGGCCCTCGGCGTAGCTTTTGTCTGGGCTGTGGAGTCAGTTCGCGGCAGAGAAGGGGCCTGGAGGGGACGGGGCTGCGCCTTCCCTGCAGCCTGGGGTCCATCGGAGCCCACTGTGTGTCTCCACAGTCCTGTGCGTTGTCGGAGGATGACAGTGTGTCCTTACGGAGCCGGGCAGCCTCCTGCATCACCGACAGCGCCTCTGAGGACGCCCTCTCCATCCGCTCCGAGATGATCCAGCGGAAAGGTGCCGGGCTGTGGGGCCAGGGGCCAAGTGGGTGCCAGGGGTTGGGGAGCGTGGCAGGAATATCTCTGGGGCTTTGAGGCTCAGAGCTCGCATGGCCACAAGCCAGTGCAGGGATCTGGGGGCCTTTGGAGGAAAGAGCAGCTCTGGCTGAGTCAGAGGCTGCTACGGGTTCTGGGATGGAGCTGCGTGAGGGGACAGATGGGCGCGCAGTGTCTCCTCCCTTCTTGGCTGCGGATGCTCCCTGGGCTGTGCCGGATGTGTGAGCAGCAGCTGGCACTGGGCTGCGGACATCGGGGATGCATGGCCCAGGGCTCATGTCACACCGGCTGGACTCACTCACACCTTTCACAGGTTCCACATTCCGACCACACGATTCCTTCTCCAAATCTTCAGAGAAGGCTGGCAGGAAGAGGAAGGAGCGGAGGACAACAGTGCTGGGCATCCCCCAGCACGTCCAGAAGGAGCTGGGTAAGTGCATGAGCAAAGAGTTGTTGTAGGGTTCGGTCCCAACCCTGGGGCTCTGTTTACCTCAGCTAGGTGCATCTGCCTTGAGATCACAGCTGGCTCACTTCTCCCTGCTCCCAGGTCTCAGGAACAGCCGAGAGATCAGGGAACGTCCCACAGATGGGCACGTGGGCAGCCGGGCACCGCAACCCCTGCTGAATGGCGGCCAAGTCTCCGGTGAGGCCATCCGTATTCCCACCATCGATGGGAACCTGCCACCACTGGACGTTCCCGGGGGTGCCCGTGTGCGCCTGGGAGCCTTGGAGGAAACAGACACGGCTCTGCAGAAGCACATTGACCGGGTTTACTATGACGACACGTTGCTGGGGAGGAAAACGTCGGCCAAGCTGTCGCCCATGGTGAGGCCGAAGTCTCTGGCCGTGCCAGGCATGACCACCAGCGCCAACCCCCCGGATCTGCTGAGCCCCGTCATGTCCATCTCACCCCAGGGCACCTACATGTCCAAGATCATCCCCAACGCCATCCTGCCGCCTATGGTGGACGTGGTGGCCCTGACGAGGAGCAGCGTGCGGACGCTGAGCCGCTGCAGCCTGGTGTCGTCCAGCCCGGCCTCGGTGCGCTCTCTCGCCCGCTTCTCAGAGCACAGCACCCGCAGCCGTGAGCCCTCCTCCTCCAGCGACAACTGGAGCCACTCGCAGTCCACAGAGACCATTGTCTCCAACAGCTCCACCATCTCCTCGCAGGGCGGCTCTGACCGCCGGCAGGCCGAGGCTGGGCTGTGCAGCGAAGCCGACACCGCGCGACGCTCCGACAACGATCAGATCAGCGTGTACAGCTCTGCCAGCTTTGCCAGCGCCTGCTCCAAGCCTGCCGTGGCTGCAGTGCACACAGCGCACGGGCTGCTGGCCGTGGGGCCCCGCAGTGTGGGCAGCAGCGGCCGCACATCCCCCGCCTTCAGCACCAGCAGCCAGGCTGAGGGCTCGGACACGGGCAGCCTGGCGAGTGAGCGCTCCTCGGCACGCAGCGTCTCCCTCAGGAAGATGAAGAAGCCCCCGGCACCCCCTCGCAGGACATTCTCGCTGTACCAAAAGGCGGAGGGGGAGCACAAGGTGCTGGGGCTGCCCCCCAAGCCCAACCGGCGGCCGCAGCAGGCGAGTGATGTGCCCTGGTCCCCGCACCCTGAGCCCTTCAGCCCGACGGTTGAGGATGAGGTCTTCTCCTCATCGCTGAGTGAGACCAGCAGCATCCGCTCTGAGAGCTTGGCTGGGACCAACTCCCCCAAGACCTCACGGGGCAGCCCTGGTGAGCGGGGAATAACGGTGGTGCTGAGGGAACCCTCAGCTCAGCCCAAGTGGAGCTGCCCAGATGGCTCTGACCGCACCATGTCACCCTCCAGCGGATATTCCAGCCAGAGCGGGACGCCCACGCTGCCTACCAAGGGGCTGGGACCCCCGGCCGCATCCCCAGGCAGGGTCCAGCCCCAGAAGCCCGACCGGGTCTGCTCCTTACAGTCCCCCGCGCTGTCCGTCTCCTCCTCCCTCACCTCTATCTCCTCCTCTGCCTCAGACCCAGTGCCCTCTGAGACACCGCACTGCGCTCAAAGCCGTTCGGATAGGTTTGTCATCCCGCCGCATCCCAAGGTGCCCGCTCCCTTCTCCCCTCCGCCCACCAAGCCCCAGACACCTACTGCCCCCGCCGGCCCTCTCACCCCTTCACTGGACCCGTCGGTGCCCAGTGCCGCAGGGCAGGAGCCCTCCACCAAACCTGGCACCAAATCACCACCGCCATCACCACCACCTGCCTACCACCCGCCTCCTCCACCGGCCAAGAAGGCAGAGGTGAGCCCCGAGACTGCCTGTGAGGCCCCCGCGGAGGCTACCTGGCCCCCACCGCCCCCCCCCGCCCCCGGGGGGCCCGACCTGTCCATGGCAGACTTTCCCCCTCCAGACGAAGCCTGTTTCTCCAGCCTGCCCCCGCCTGATGCCGTGCTGACCCCAGCAGCAGGGCAGAACCACGCGCCGAGCACAGCCGCATCTTCCTCCTCCTCAACCACCACCTCCTCGAGCGTCCAGCAGCAGGGCTCACCGCCATCCCCCACCACGCCACTTCCCGGAGCCACCGCGCCACCACCCACGGCCACCGTGCCCCCACCGCCACCTCTGCCGCCGCCATCAGCTCCTGCTTTACCGCCCCAGATCTGCCTTAAGAAGGCGGCGAACGGCTCCCGGGCAGACAGCAAGAAGGAGCCAGCATCGCGCAGCAAGAGCGGCCCGGTGCCCAAGGAGGACGCCAGCCTGCCCATCGTCACGCCCTCGCTGCTGCAGATGGTGCGGCTGCGCTCCGTCAGCGTGGAGCCGCCCGCCGTGGCCGAGGAGCGCGCGGTGCCGCAGAAGCCCATCCGCCGGGCCCTGTCCACACGGCAGCCCAATCCTGCCAAAGATGCGGTGCCTTCAAACCCGCTCCATGCTGCTGTGCACCTCAAGGCCTCCGCTGCGTCCTCCGGTGAGGCTTCTGGGCTGGCCGCAAAACCCCTGGGCGGCAAAGCGGCTCCTCCTGGCCTGGAGGCGCCTGCCGGCGATGGGCAGCTGTCCCCCAGGCACAAATCCCCCACCTCCACCGCCAGCTTCATCTTTGCCAAAAGCACCAAGAAGCTGGTGATCGAGACACCCTCATCCCCTGAGGCACAGGCCGACCTGAAGAGGAATTTGGTCACCGAGCTGATGAATTTCTCCGGGCAGCGCTCGGCAGCCCCGGCTGCTGCCCAGCAGGGCCCAGGCAAGGCACCGGTGCACCGAAAGCCTGGCAAAGTGCCCCCTCCTGTCGCCAAGAAGCCTTCGCTCGGCCTCGGGCCGTCTCCATCACCCCTGAGCCCAAAGGCACCGGAGGCGCTGGGCTCCCCTGCGCCAGATGAGAAAGTCAAGGCAGTGGCAGTGGAGGAGGAGAGCAGAACCAACAGTGAGCCGGTGGGAATGGCTGAGGGCAGAAGCGCCGCGGTTGCAGAGCCGCCAGCACAAGGTATGTGGAGCAGGAGGGCTGGGGGTGCTGGCTGAGCCCTGTGTGTGTGCTGGGGGCTCCTTAGCCAAAAGCGATGGCAGTGCTGGGGGTGGTGGCCGAGCCGTTGACCAAAGCCAATGCAGCTGAGTGTGGATGCTCGTGGCCAGGGGACCCAGCGCAGCACAGGCTGCATTGGGGCTGCTGTGGGACAGCAGGGCGGCGCAGCAGGGGATAGGCCTGTGGGAGGCTGAGCTGCAGGAGCGGGTCCTTGATGGGCTCTTCCCTCTTGCCTTGCAGACGGACAGGGAGAGACGGCCTGAAGGACGGAGCTGCAGGACTGGTGCCCCCGCGGACAGGAATCCAAATCTCTCAGGGACCTGGGCAGGTCAACGGATGAGTGTGGAACTGGCAACTAACTTAACACAGGAAGCAAACAGCCTTAGCCTCCATGGCCTTGATGATATTTATGCAAAAATGGTGTTGGTTTCACTTTCCTAAGTACTACAGCTTTATTTTGCATTATTTTTTTTACTGGACTCGAGGCCCGCGCCCAGAGCCAGCGCTCCTCCCTGCTGCGCTGCCGCGTGGTTTGCGCGTGTGAGCAGAGCAGCTGCGCAGAGAGGAGGGCGAGGGGCTGCGAGGACAGCGCTGGATCCAACCTGCTCCCGGCCAGCCGGGCCTGTACAGAATCAAAGCACTTTGGACAAAGAACTGGAAGGCTTCGGCCGCCCCTGGGAGGACTTGGGCAGCAGCAGCAGCAGCAACGTGAGACGGAGCCCTGGATGGAGCGGAGCGGCGCTGCAGCCCTGGAGAAAAGCACGAGGCGTCTCTGGGCCGGCGCCGCTCCACGGCTGCGGCTCACGGCGCTGCTGGGCCCGGCCGGCTGGGAGCCGCGCGGCTCGGCAGGAGCCCTGTGAGCTGCCGCCCTGGGCTGTGGGGTGGAGCCTTGATTTCTGTTTCTGTAAACTTTGGTCACATTTTGATTTCTTTGATTGTAAGAAAAAAAAAAAAACAACAAAAGAACCAAAACCAAACAACCCTCTGCCGCCAAGTAGCCCCTCAGAGCTCTGTACCTGGCTGGTAAAGATGCTGACTGAAGCTCATTGCCTCCTGTGCTTCCTGGTTTTAGATCCCGGCTGCTGCCAACCACAGCATCACCGCATCTCAGTGCTGTGCAGCTCTGTGCAGCTCTGTTGGTCCCCACAGAGGGACAGAGCTTGGGCTCCATCTCTGGCTTCTCTTGGCAGCACTAAAACAGAGGAGCAGGCAGAGCCATCGCCCCCTGGACGGATGGACACACCCAGGTGCTGTCAGCTTGACGTTTTATTGGGTTTATGACAGACAGATGGTTTCCAAGTCAGTGTTTAAAGGCTCCCACCCCAGCCTGCCCCGGGCTCAGGTCGGACCTGGTGGGGCAGGGCTGTGCCCTGGGCTCCTGGCCCACAAGCAGCAGCCCCTGCTCCAGGAGGGCACGGAGCAGAGCAGAGCAGGGGACAGGAGTGACCCAGCTGCCAGGCAGCTGTCCCCCACCCTGGTAGCAGCAACACAGGTTTGATCAAGCAGCTTTCCCTTTCAACCCTTACGGCAGTGCCTGCACGTGCTGTCCCAGAGATGCAGCCAGCAAGCAGGTTTCCAGTCCATGGCACAGTGGAGAGCAAGCCAGTGACCTCAGTGATGAGCCAGAGGGGACACGCACAAGAAACACAAGTCCCTTAGATGTGGTGCCATTGCCAGGCCCCAGCTCTGGCCCACAGCAGAGGTACTGATGCAGGCTGAGTAGACCCAAGGCAAAGATGTTTGGGCCAGCTCTCCAGCAGCCTCTCACCGTTACAGTGCATGGGAGACCGCAAATTCAGGTCCAGAGCTGCCAGGTCCCAAAGGGCAAAGCCCCCTGTTCAAGGTGCCGGGGAAGGAGATGCCAGAGACTGGGAAGGAGAGCCTGGATGGAGGGGTGGAGGGGCCAGGCAGGAGGCGTGAGCCGTGGCTCTGGTGCTTGTTAGCTGATGCTCCCCCCCTTCAGGCTTTTACACGAGATGCTCCCCAGCTTGGTCAGGAAGTTTCTCTCCTTCCATTGAGCGATGCAGTCCTCAGAGATGCGGAAATCAGCCTGGGGAGCAGAGCAGGGGAATTGGGTCAGGCCTGGGATGCACGCAGGCTGGGGCCGTCTTGGGTGCTGCCTGAAGGTTCACCGACCATGACACGGCGGCAAGCACACAACCTCAAGTCACCCAGTGATGGGACAGAGGCATCCACACGGCCGTCAGCACTGCCCTGCTCAGTGCCTGAAGCCCCAGCCCTCAGCTCGACTGCTCTGTGCCCTCACCTGTAGCTTCTCAAACACCTTCTTCTTTGGCTTGAGCTCGTCGTCAGGTTCCCCGTCCTCATAACCCTCCACGTAGACACGCTCCCCAGCGCAGCACCCAGCAGGTGGGTCCAGGGGCTCCACCTGCCGTGGCTCTCCCACACTGCAGAGGAGTACACAGGACGCAGTCACCCCCAGGCAGCGCCCACCTTGGCACAGCCGGGCTCTGAGGATCCAGACTGCACCCCTGGAGGGGCCTGCCCTGATTCCCCTCTCACCTGGAGGCACACAGCACCATGCCCTGGGACTCCACGCCTCTCATCTTCTGGGGCTTGAGGTTACAGAGCAGCACCACGAGCCTGTCCTGCAGCTGCTCCCTAGAGACAAACTGCACCAGGCCGCTGACCACAGTGCGGGGCTCAGGCTCACCCACATCGATCTTCTCCACATACAGGCTGTCAGCATCTGGGTGCTGACAAGTAAAAGCAAGGTAAAGAGCAGAGAAGGGAACTGGGGTGACAAAAAAAAAAACAACAAAAGGGCAGACTCCTCCCCCTCACCTTTCCCCATACACTGAGTGCCCTTCTCACCCTGTGGGAAGGTTACTCCCCTCTTCCCATCGTGCCCTTACCTTTTCCACACTGATCACTTTGCCAACACGGATGTCCAGCCGAGATGGGACAACAGTCTCCGGCTCTGAGTTCTTGGTGCCTTTCTCTGCAGGCTCTACAGTGCAAAGGAAACAGTTGCACCATTCACCTTGAATGCTGGGAGCTGGCCAAGCCCTGGGGAGCACACAATGATCCCCACTTGCTGGACTTGGAGGCTCCTGAATTCCCTGTTTGTCTGCACACACCACAGCAGCCCCTCCTCCGCTTCGCTGGCCTCTCAGAGACGCCTTCTGCCCTCTCTCACTGGGGCCCTGGCCTCTCCTCACCCTGCAGATGCTCTCCAAGAATGGCCCTGGAGAGGCTCCCTCCTACCCAGCCCTGCACGGCCAGAGCCCCATTTTTCCCAGCAGCTCCTTACTTGCTTTGGATGGGTTGGGATATGCTGCGCTGGTCAACTTCTTCAGCTCCGGGCTGTTGAATTTCTCTCTGATGGGGTCAAGCAGTTTATTCAGAGCCACTTCCACAGAGTTCTTCAGGTCTCCAGGATGCACAACCTGTATCATGACAAGCAGACAGGGCCCTGCGTCTCTCCCCCAGTGTGGATTTCCAACTGCCAGTGCTGCTCTGAGCCCACAGTGCTCGTGGGAGCCTCAGGGACAAGGAAGGCGTTCAGTCCCTCGCTGTACTCACCTGCTCAGCAAAGTCCTTCTCCAGAGCTTCATAGGCTGTGTATGTTTTGTTTCCTCCCCATTTTTCTTCTCGCAGAATCACAAACTCTGTGAGACACAGATTAAGGCTCAAATTAAGCCCAGGGGAGGCTCCCCCTGCTCAGCCAGATAAACCACCCCACTCTGGCCAAGAGCGAAGGGAGCTGCAGCAGAGCTGGAAAGAGGGTGTGCAGGGTGCAGTCAGTGTTAGGGATTGTATATTCCTGCCCCCTCCTTTTGCCCACAGGAAAAAGTGACCCCAACACCTGGTCGCGGGGAGCCCTTCACCTGACTTGAGGGGAAAGAGGACGTGCTTAATGAAGGAGAGGACACCATTGTTCTCCACATTCCCTGGCTCACAGAAAGCCTTCTTCAGCTTCTTCTTCACATCTTCTTTGCGGTCCAGAAGGTCAATTTTTGAGTCCTGGAGGAAGAAATTTCCATAGCCCTTTTCCGGTCCAAAAGAAATAACTCATGCAGGTGTTGCTGCACCTTTTTCTTAGACCTCAGCATGAAGTGAGAAATTTCCATCTCTCAGGGTGCAGCCTCTCCATCCCCAGCAAAGCCCCAACCACCACTCAAGAACCAACCTCTTCTGATGAGCTCATTTTGCTGCCTGTCAGACCGGGAACCATTGGATTCATCAAATGGATGCGCTTGGCATAGCCCAGGGAAGGGAGGTACTGGGAAAATGCAAGGAAGTAAGTCATGGACAATGCTACTCTACAAGTCAGCTTTAACCCATGCTCTGTGTTTGCTCCTGGCTCCGCATAACCTTGAGCACGGCAATGAGACACAGAAAGCTATAATGGGTTCACACAGTCTTGACAGCCCAAAACATGTGGCAGCCCTGCCTGCCCCACCAGAGCCCTATGGACCACAAAGAGCAGCAGCAGGAGCTGATAAGAGCGCTGTGACTCTAACTGAAATCACAGTCATGTTTCTCCCAGTGGATTAGAGAGACTCTGAGTCCCACACCAGCATCACAAGGGACCCAAACGCCCCCATTCCTAACCTTCTCTGCAAAGGTGAATATCTTCCTTTGATCAACTCCACCAAACTGAGCATCGACCTTGAGGTATTCCTCATCCAGGGCCTGAGGAAAGACACAAACAGCCTTGAGCTTGGCTCTGGGACTCCATGTTCCAGCTCACTCAGCCTTTGGAGGCCCTGCCTGCACTCTGGGATCTGCCAGACACAGTCCTGGCTTTGCCCAGCACCTCCTCAGCATATGCACTCTGCCAGGCAGCCTCAACACCCACCTGCAGGCCAGGGTAGAGCAAGCCACTCAGCAAAGGGTGCTCCACCTGCTTCACCACCTCTGCTCCTGCCTTCTTCGCATCATGCTGTGTCACCACAGATGACAGACGGTACACATCCAACGTGTACTCCCTATGGGAAGGAACAGCACAGTCAGCACCAGGCAGAGGCACAGCTGCAAAAGCTGCTTCGCATAAATATTGGTGCTGGTCACTGAGAGCAGCCTGGAGACACCTTCACTTTATTCCCTGAATAACAGTGCCTGGCAGCAGGCTTGGGAATGACAGCAGAGCCCCAAACCAGCTTCTCCTGTGCACAGAGGACCAGCAGCTCAGAACTCACTTGCTGAGCTGGTAGTCCGTGCCTCGGACAAACTTCAGCTTTTCCAGGGGCACCCCAATGCTCTCCAGCATGGCTTTGATCACATTCTCATAATAGCGAGTGCGCAACTCCAGCAGCTCCCAGGGGGCCTTCATGTTGTCTAGGTAAGCGTGGAGGTCAGCAAAGAGGATTGTCACCTGGTAAAGAGGGGACAGAGTCAGCACCGCCTGTCAGAAGATGCACAGCGCAGGGGGAACCCTGCCGGCCGGCCTCGCACCTCACAGCCAGCCTTCAGGAAGTCTGCGATCTTGGACATGGGCACGAAGTAGGCAACGTGCGGCTTGCCCGTGGTGGCGGTGCCCCAGTAGATCTTCACCTCCCGCTCCTTCAGGATGCCCATCAGCTTATCCTCGCCCAGCACCTCCTGCGAGAGAAACCCGAGAGCGGCCGGGCTGAGGCGGGCATCGAGCCCCGAAACGAGGTCCGGCGCCGAGGCCCGGCCCGCGGGCTGAGCGCGGCGCTCCTATCGCCGTGCCCGGGGCCCATCCCCTCAGCACGGGGCCCGGGCCCGGCCCGCCCCCGGTACCTGCAGGTTGCGGGTGATGAGCTGGTACTTCTCCTGCGGGCCGGACGCGGTCTCCATGGCGGAAGGAAAGGACGCGTCAGCGCTGCGCACAGCCCGGGCCGCCCGCCGCACCTCGCCCACCGCGCGCGGGTTGCATCAGCCCCGCTCGGCGCTGCCGGCGTCTCTCTGACGTCACTTCCGCCCTCGGAGAGCCGAGCTGCCCGCGGGCCGCGCTCCGCCAATCCGGGGAGGGCGGGGCCGCGCTCCGCCAATCCGGGGAGGGGGCGGGGCGGGTCCGGCTGCACGTGCTGCTAAGATGGCGGCGGGTGGGG